TGTCTTGGATCAAGACGAAAAATTCTTGAATCAAGTTAAATTTCCTTACATCAAGAAAAATTTCCTTAAATTAAGAATTTTTCTACTCAAAAAATATTAAGTTCTCCAAAATTATATACTTGATTCAAGAACATTTTTTTTCTGTGTAGAAAATTAAATTTTCTACAAAAAAAGGTCCTCAGTAATTTCATCATATCTCTTGTATTTAAAGCAGAAATTTAATTTAACGTCTTAGAAAAATAATTTTTGAACAATCCAATTAAGAAACTCATTTCCAAAAACTTTGATTTGAAATTCTGGCCAAAATATCAAAGATATGAAAAAGTTATGAGAGCTTTTTGGTAGGAAATTGAATTTTCTACTAAAAGGTCTTTAGTAATTTCATCATATCTCTTATAGTTAAAGCAGAAATTTAATTTAAGATCATAGGAACATAATTTTGGAGCAATGTAATTAAGAAACTTATTTTAAAAAACTTGAATTCAAAATTCTGGACAAAATATCTAAGATATGAAAAAAATATAGAGCTTTTTTGTAGAAAATTGAATTCTCTACAAAAAAAGGTACTTCAATTTTGTCCGATCACTCATCCTTCAAGCAGAATTCTGATCTAAAGTCTTAAAAAAGAACTTTTTGGAGTAACCTAACAAACAAACTTATTTTTTAGAACTTGGAACCAAAATTTTGGATAAAATTAAAATCTTTTAATTATAGTGACAGTTTATACTAAAGTAAAAGTAAAACAACCCAACACTCTCAACCACAAGCTCCGGCAATAATTATCCAGGCTCAAACTCTCATGGCTGATTGTCTGGAGATTAATGAGGAGATAATTGAATGGCGCGAGTTTTTTACGCGTATTTACAAACACAAAGCCGGCGGGTTGAGTTTCTCAGGCGTTTCTCCACTACTCGTATTATATCGCGCATCGATAGACCGTCAGGTCACGTCATTGTATATCGCGACGTATCATGCTCAAGCCTAAGTGCTGTACAGTACGGTATCGCGTGTCCAACAATAAATACACATACATCACCCTGATATCTACATAAACAAATAAATAATATAAACGTAAGCTCTGAGCTATGAAGTTACATTCTTACTCCTCTCTCTCTCTTATTTAATTCTCACTCTCCGCTAAAAGTTTCTCTTTTGCTCCCCAGCCTTTATTTTATTTAACTTTATTTGTCTACGTTATGAATGCGTGGAATTTATCAATGGACGCGGTGGACTGATGATAAATCGCACGCCAAGGATCGTATCGCCGTCCATACTACACACTATATCCATACTGTACCCTCAAGACTCTTTATTTTATTTTATTTTATAATACCTACAAGTTTCCTTCTTGCTCTCTACTCTCAGCTCCAAGTTTGCTCCATTCCGAGCGGAGCGGAGCATTATAATAATATTACATGCAGATACACATTTGTATTGTACAGTATGGTACTCAGACTCAGATTCAGATTCAGACTCGGGCTTTCTATTCTAACACCAGCAGAATCAAGTGGAAGGTGAGAGACCGATGATATCACGAGCTGAAGAAGCTACATAAAAGATTGACCGAGCACGGTAGCGCTCCACGATTCTCTGCTCAATATCGCGATCCCGGACACATTAAATATCATCTTTATTTGCTCATACTTTGACTTACACATCTAACTCTTCTCTACATTTGAATATAAATAAAAAAATTAATATATTAAATGAAAACTATGCTATTATTGCTATTGAAGATTCAATGCCAACAAATTCAACGAGAAAAATTGACCTATCATATTTCCATTCATAAAATCTGCTGGGAATTAAATCACATACACTGAGAAAAAAAAATACTTTTTACTCAATTAACAATTTCTTGGCTCAAGAAATTCGATGGCGATTTCTGAAGAAAAGAGCATTAATATTTATCTTTGAATAATAGATAAACAAAAGAATAGCTTCATTTAAATTAAGTAAAAATTATTTCAATCAATTTAACAAGTTCTTGAGCTAAGAATATATATTCTTGAAAATTTTCAAGAACATGAATTCTTGTATCAAGAAAATTTTCTTAATAAAAGTATTTTTTTTTCTCAGTATATAATGTGTCTGTTAATACACTAATAAAAAATTTAACTTAACTCAGGAGCAAGAATCTTGAACCAAGAACACCAATTTGCAGAAAATGAATAATTCTTGGTTCAAGAAAATATATCTTGACTCAAAAATTTTTCCTCTTGGCTCAAGACATTTTCTTCAAATTGATATTCTTGGTTCAAGAGTTTTGCTCTTGAGTCAAGTTAAATTTTTAATCAGTGTATAAATTGCGGGGAAGTTTGATACCAAGCGATAAAGGCTGAAAGTGTAAACTGGACCCGCATTCTCGATCTTAGAGAAATTTTAATCGGTTTTATATTTTTCTAATTGGGATCGGATGGAGGACAGAGTGAAAATAAGAAAAATATGTATTTTGTATTCTGTGGACGGCTGTGTTTCAGCGGATGAGCAATAAAGATATTCATGAAGATGTAGACATGTGTATATATGTGAGCTACAAGGGAATTCCCTTTATAAGATGGATATCTCCGTGGTTTTACGAGCAAACTTACACCCACGAGTCCCACTGGTATAACTCGCGTCAACTCGAGACATGGATCTTGTCAATAATTGTTTTTGTCGAAAGAAAAGTCGGATTTTTTGAGCAAGTGATTTATGAAAAAGGAGAGTTGATTTTCTGTCAATACTTTTGGAATATTTTAACTTTCAATAAGGTTCAAGAAAGAATATTATATTTTTTGAAGAAAATATTTAAATCTTTAGTTTACTTTAAGCAAAAAAAATTTTAAATTGGAGCAAGGAATTTTGAGAAAGTAAAATTGCAATTAAAAAAAATTGAATAAATTCTCTATATTATTAATAAAACAAACTCAGTTGTTTTAAAATACCAATGCATTCACTTCTCTCCTAGTTAAATATTACTATCATAAATCACAACTAGAAATTGTTATATAAATAAATACTATGCTACAACCTATTATGGACTCATATCATATCTTTTGTATGCAAAATTAAACACAAATTTGTATTACTTAAAGCTCTATTAGCATCTAATATTGATTTCACTATCAATGAATAAATAAATAAATAATTAATCATAAATTTTAGCATTTAAATAAATTTATCAGAACAAAAGTCTCGAATTTTTCGTCAAATTTCTTCAGCAAAATTTAATATAATGTTTTATAGCCAATTATTTCCTAGAAAATATATATTTTATCCCTTCCAACCGTTTAAAAATAAACGTTCTAATGAGAATAAAATTGCGGAGGACAAAAATACCCTCGATAGCAAAAATATCTCGGATAAAAAGTGCCGAGGTTGGGCAAAGAGAAGAAAAGTTTAAATTTTGCCGTCGCTTCGTCAATCGCGTATTTAGTTTCAGTCCCAGCCTATAAACTTAGACACACTTGCATGTACAAGGAGTGCAAAATAGTACTTGAACATACAGTGGAGTAAGCTGCTAAAATAAGTGCAAAAAAGTAAAGCGCAACGCCCAATGGTTTAGGGTTTAAATAATCCGGTTGTTTTGTTAGCAGCGAGCCGAAAGCTGGCGCCTTAAATTTTCCTAACTGCACTAGTGATAGAGTAATGCAGTGTGGAGATGCTGATGTACTTTTAGTATTAGTATGTAGTGAGGAAATAAATTTACCCCTCGGTAGCCACCGACAGGCATTCCGACGGTTGCCGCAATAACTCGAGGTGATTTTACGAGGTTTTACACGGACTATCTTCTCCTCATTCCTCGGAGATAGATCTGCTGAGTCTTGTTCTTCTCCGCGGATATGTCCCTATGAATTAACACCAGGCCGTGTGTCTTTTTGAGTCTGTGGCTATCACTATGACTGCATCACTCTAACTGGTACTAGTGCTGGTACTTGGGATTATAACGACGAGTTTGCACGTCGTTTTACTATTTAAAATCCGCGAACGCGTTTATAGTCATTCCGTCTGCTAAAACTCGCCTAAATCACCGATTCTTCATCCAGTAATCCATTTAATTGACCAAATGTACATACACAACCCGACATTTACACAACTTTTTTTTGCCAGACTGTTTAGTTATATTTCACAGCAGATTTACGTTTTCTCGTAAAAGTCGTTCTCTTGAATATTATTCAATGTTTTTATTACGCGGTTTTATGTTTTGATTTGTCAAAAGATTTCTATTTAAAGTCATTAAATTTTCAATAAAAGATTAAAAATAAAACTATCTATTCGATAAAATTCAAAACATTGAATTATTCAAGACATAACACTTTTTCACGTATATTATAAAAATTTAATGATATAGTTAAATTTACTATCTTGATTTGTATAACAAAATCGTTAAAAAATAGTTAAATTCGGTATTTAAAATTTTATGGCTTAACCTGGGTGAATTTATTATAACTTTTTAACAGGTTGAAGTATTTTTTGGAGTATTAGAAATTTTAATTTGCAAGATGTCAACACTTGTAATATTTAATTTTAAGATTTTTCAAAAAGGGGAGAATAATCTCTTGATAAATTTACTTTTTTATGAGTGTCAAAGTAGCATTAGACATTTTTTTGAATATTTAAAATCCAATTATCAGTTTTTATAACTTTTAAATTATCAGACGTCTAATTATCATTTAAAAAAATTTTTTATAGCTCCAAAAATTAATCTAAAAAAATTTTAATGCAATTTTTTAATTATTTTCTTGCTAATAATTTGTTTTTTAAATTAAAAATTATCAGATGACTTTTAATTAAAGTTTCATATTTTTAAAATTTTTTTATAGCTCCAAAAATTAATTAAAAAAAATTCTAATGCAATTTTTTAATTATTTTCTTGCTAATTAATTTTTTAAAAAAATTAAAAATTATCAGGCGACTTTTAATTAGTTTTTTATTTATAAATATAAAAAATTAATTTCAAAAAATTCCCAGCTACTTTCACCTCATTAGTAAAAATCATGCCTATAAAATCAAAAAACTTACGGATGCGGCGGCGGAGCATGAAAAGCGGCAGCAGCGGCGGCGGCAGCGGCCGCGTGATGTTCCCAGGCGGCGGTGACCGCAGGATGGGGTGGCGGGGGCGGTCCATGATGCGGATGAAACGGCGGTGGAGGCGGCCCGTGATGCGGATGAGGGTGAAAGGCCGCATGGAAGGCCGAGTGGGGGTGGTGCGGCGGGGGTGCCGGCGGCAGCAGGGAGAAGGCCTCCTGGTGGTAGGCCACCTCCTTCTCCGGCATCTTGTACTTAAATCCCAGCTTCCTCGTCAATCAAACTCCGATATATTAATTTCCACCCGTAACAATATCAGGAATTGTCTCTCCGTTTGTTCATTATATTCATCACCGTTACATTATCAACACTGAAAAAATTCAAAATCAAGTCTTTAAAACACTTGCAATAATTGGTAATCAAGTCACTCCGTAATCCTGGAATTATCCATAATCGGAAGTTGGAATAAAATTATTCACCTCACTTCACTTTTTAAAAATCCCGCCACTATTTCTTATTGTAATTTTTCGTTAATCCTTTTCACACCTAAACACAAAATTAATTAATTAATTAATTAACTAATTAATTAATTCTTTTTTATTCTAATTAAAACAAATTTGAGTTAATAAATAATGAAATAAAATTTTAAAAAAATGTACAAATTGCCACGGTGTTTATCCTCTGACGGGTATGGTGGTACTGAGTCCCTAGACCAAGAAGACATTCTGTGTTCTGTGTTGCGGCTCTGACGAGAGGGGTGCAAGAGTAAGAGCAAGAGTAAGAGGAAGAGCACAAGCACATAAGAGGAAGATGATGTGCAAGACGAAGAGCAAGTATAATATGTTTCCAGGCGTATTCGTACCGTGTAGTGCGTTTGCTTCCCGCGGTCGTGGTTGTGCAGTTCAGAAGTGGGCGTACGACTAAGCCTTAATATAAATATATATTTATAAAAATACAAACGAATATAGGGAACGTCGAGAGTACAGAGTTAATGCAAACCGAGTTACCGATACCAAGTGAAGTATATATAATACTATGTAATGTAGTAGTTACCGAGTTTGAGTGGAGGCGCTGGCGGAGAACTAAACGGAAAACTAAATAAGAGTAGAGCAGCTTTGGTCATTCCTCATTCCGGTATAGGCGCTGCGAATCACTGGAGGGGGGCGCTAGTTGCTGGTGGGAGAATATGAGGAACAAAACGGGAGCGAGAGAGAAGAGGTGGTGAGTGAGTAACGAGGAGGGGGCAATTGCCACGAGAACGCGTGTCAGCTCGACAACTCAACTAGCACCCCGGCTTTCTATTATTGCTCTCTTCGTCCTTCGAGCTCTACTCTGCTTTAAGGATTATATTGGTGTTAGTTGGATCGAGTTTGTATCAAGATATATTATATGGATGGGAGGTTCATCTTCATAGTATGGAGATGTTAGCTCGTTTCGAGGATTTCTGTTTAGAAATTTATTTATTTTAGGTACAATGACCGATCTGTTATTCGATGGATAGAAGAAGATGTCTCTGATTGTTTTTGTTGATATTCAGTTTCAAGAGCTGACGGATTTATTGGCAAGATTTATGATTTTTTGAGTGTTGAAGATGTTAAGGGAGAAATTTTAGTTTTTTATTTTTTTTTAAATGGTTTTAGAGAAGAAATTTTGGGTAGTTGGGTAGTTAAAAGACTAGATGATTGATAAAATTAGTTGGAATTAATGAGCTTCTTAGGGAATTTTGAGATTTGTTTTTATGATACTGAAATTGAGAAACATTTGATGATTTTTTTTAACAGATAAATTGCCTCCTAAAATTCTAAACGTTCTCAGTTTAGAGACTTTCAAAATTAAATTATTTGATTTTCTAGTAAGTAATGAATAGTTAGAAATTAGTATGCTAATAATATGATGTACATTTTTCTTTTTTTTTTTTAAATGCAATCCGTTTTATATATTTTAATAATACTCCAAAATTTACTGTACTTATTTGAACATTATCTATGTGTATACAATTTGCCATTCGGCTTAACGCTTTGACATTAAAAATAAATAAATAAATTATAGTAAGAAAAATTTATTTTGAAAACTCCGTTTTTAGATTCTCTAAAATTTATAAATACAATTTTTTTAATTAAAATTTCTAAATCTAGTTCATTTCTTTTTTTAATTAATAAACGTGGAGATAATTGGCAAATAGTTTCAAATACAATTAATTAATAAGGAGAAAATATTATCTGTGTTAACAACTTAATAGCTCAACAAAGACTGACTGATGCTTACAATGCAATAATATGCAATAATACAATAATCCCTATTGGTATCTTTATGAGTAACATAGCGGAATAAATATAAGTATGCATGTTTGTTATAGTGATTAAACTTTCAAAAAAAATTGTCAAGTGTCTGCTAATTTCAATGTCATTAATTTTTATATATCGACGTTCTAATTAGCGAATTGTATTTTAGAGAATCTTGCATTTGTACGAAAAAACAATTCAAAATTTATTATCACTTTAAAAAACCATTTAATATCTAATAGACGTATGATGTTTTGGTTTAGATCATTTAAATAATTTATAATTGGACTATTACTACATCAAAATGTTAAAAAATCACCCTATAAAAAATAAGGAGTGGATCTAATATTTTTTTTTATTACTTTTCAATTTATTATAAACTTTAAGTTAGAATAATAGAAAATTTTACTAAAGTATTAGTTGTCAAATAAAAGCCAATGAAAAGATCTCATAAAAAAACTTGAGTAAAATAAAATAAAATTTTTTACTGATTACTTTGTATTATTTCTTTAGAAATTTTTTATGTTTTCTTATGCTTTTCTATTAAAAACTTATTTTAGTGACATTTCTTTGTGAAATTTTCTTCTCAAAAGCCCAAGCATTCTTTTTTCAATATGAAATTTAAAGAACTGACTCTTTCTATAAGATTTAAAGATTGACCAGCGGTCATATATTTATTCTAGCTCTAAAATATGTATTCAAGAACAAATTTACCACTGGAAAATTTTTCAATAGCAACTAGGATATAAAATCCTTAATAAATATTTAAAGCTGTAAAATATTTACAAAAGAAATTTTTTATATTCTGCAACTGTTTGAAATAATTTTTTTTTTTTCAACAAAATTTCTATCTTAAATTAATAAAAAGTAATAATTAATTATTGAGTAAAACAATTTATTTAATTTTTGAGATAACTGAATCTACCTGAGAAACCCACTTAAAAAATTAACTAAAAGACCGGAAAGAACAGTAGAGGTGACATTCCAGCTTCAATAAAAGAAAAATAAAACTAAAAAGAATCAAGCAATTTCCGGTGGTCACATCTAGATTTAAAAAGAAAAAAAAAGAAATCTTTTCTGAAAGTAAAGCTGTCCTCTGTCAACGCGACTCCTCCCGTTTTTCGCAGTTAACTTGTACGGGCCTCATATAAATGCTGAGTAGCGTCGGTGGGTCGCCAGCAAGACGGCAGCGGCGTCTGGCTGGTAGTTTTTCATGAACACGTGTGGGCCTGGGTATAATCACCACTTGTTTAACAGTTGCGTTGACACGGGTTCCCGTGACGTTTGTTAAAGAGCGGAAACTGTAAGCAAACTTCCCCTAGTAAGACAATGCGGATCGAATTTCGCTGTCAAAGCTCTGCTGAACTCTAACTGCACGGTACAGATGTAAAAGATGCACCGAGATGGATCTTGCTATTATTATTAACGCAGCAGACAAACAGTCACTGCATATCATGTTCTTTAAATAAGTTAAGCCAAAAGTTTTAAATATGCGGTCCTGCAGAGCAGAGAAGAACATACCAGTCGACTTAACTGCATCGGTTTACTATCAACATGTGTTTGTCCGTTCGAACAAACTGGTTTATAACATCAGTTTGCTTGTAAAATCATTAATTTCATTTTTTTATCCAGCCTTTCATTATACGCAATGACAACCTACCACATCTATAAACATATTTACAACAGGAATAATAAACAGACTCCTTTTAATCGATTAATTTCATATTATCTTCATTATTATTATTTTTTTTTATAGATTACGTGTATTCATAATTCATAAGGTTATTTTGACCTTTTATTCAATGTTACATGATGTATTATTAAATTAGTATGCGGTTTATTTATTTATTTATTTATTTATCCCAGGATATCTCAATTAAAAATTCGGAAAAAAATTTAATATTAATGTTTTATAGAACTGTTTTTTTAGAAAAATCTATATTATTAAGAAATTTTGTGACCTGTGTATTTATATGATAAAATGGGTTTTTATGGTTAAATTTAGTATCATTAGAAAGGTCTTGACCTGGAGTTGAGCCTTTTCAAGGATTCATATTCATTCGCACCAATAGTCAATTTATGATAACATGTATTTAGGCTGCATTCGAAAATGTCCTACCTCTAGGTACATAATTAAGAAATGACCTTGTATCTTGTGAACTATTGACATTTTTAAAGATACAAGCTCATTCCGATGTTACACTCATCGAGACCTTTCATTTGATTACCCACATCGATTTTTCATATATTTTATATATTTGTGTATATGTATATATGAAAAATATATCAAAATGCATGTGGGTACTCAAATGAAAGCTCTTGATAAGTGTAACATCGGGATGAGCTTATATCTTTAAAAACGTCAAAAATTAAAAAAGTATAGTGCAATTTAACAAAAATCATAATTTAACTCTTCAAAATTTTCTCTTATATTAATTTATTTTTTATTATCAATGAAGAAATATAAATTTTACCTAGAAGAAATCTTGAGCTAAAAACAAAAACTTTTTCTAAGTCAAGGTAATTTTTATAAAAAATTTAGAAACCAGATTGCAACTGATCAATAAATTGTAAAAATTACCATCAGAATACCCTAATTTAAGATCCACATGATACACAACGATTCAAGACAGACTAAAATCCAGATTAGCCATAACGAGCTGCGCTGTTGTCGGATGACTGGGTAGCTGTGGTGGAGCCTGATGAGCACATAAGTGTGGTGTATTTTTTTCATTGACACCGGATTACATGGGAGAGAACTACGTCTCGTCACAAAAATAATCATCATCATCATCATCATCATCATAATTATAATGATAATAAAGAGCAGAAGTATGATCATCATCGCAGCAGTTCAGCCGGCATCAGTGACCACTTTTTATTAGCCAGCGGACACGCAATGCAATGCCAGACTGATTGGCCGCGTCTTTGCGGGAGTTTCATAGGTTTTTGTCACCGGCATTTTC